CTTTCAGAGTTAATATCGCTGTATTGAGAAACTTTTCAAGACGACTATTAACTATATCTTATAACAAATAAGCAACAATTTTAATATTTTCCTTTCCAATTACCTTCACATCATTCCATTAATAACTACTTTTACAATCAAATTGACTTTAGTCATTAGTTAAAATATAGTAGAGAGGTTAGAGACAGTAGTGAGATACAACAACAAAAATTATTTATATTATTTCAAATTAAATGAATAAATGGCTGACACTATAGTATAGCTATTTCCAGTATTCAAATATTGGTTAATAATTTCTTGAGACTGCAGGTAGCACGGGTTGAGCTCATATCCTGCCAAATTTGAAGCTCAGAGTCAGTGTTCGTTAGCCAACTGACCCATATTTTATTAAAATATTATAAAAATTAATATAATATATAAATACACTTAAGTTGTTTCTTTTCAGATAGCTCTTTCAATCTATTACTTTCTTCTCTTTACCATTACTTTAACTCCGTTTAATCGGCGGAGTAGATTAATAACATATTAATTATTAAATTTTAATATCTTTTTTTGCTTTGTTTGTTTTCTTTTTTTTTTATTTTTAGCAAAAAATTAGATTAGCACACTTCAATTAAAAATGTTTTGCCAACAGAAGTGCACCAAAATGCAAAAGAAAAAAATGCTTTATTATTGTTTCACAACATGAAAATTGTGTCGGTCATAAATTGGTTTTAGGAAGTTAATCCTGGGTACAATGCCTTAATGGTAATCAAACAAGGTCTTACTCGAATTCAGCTCCTGTCATGAATGCAAAAACATTTTTGTTGGTATTTTAAAATTTTAGTTCATTTCTGTTTTATGGCATTTTAATGGAATAACATCCTTGTAGCTCCTACTAACGAACAAGTTGCCACACCGAACCCCAGAGGCAATGCCATTTTTTCACATTTCTCTCAAATGAATGTTCATTTTCACATATGCCAAATGAATCTAAATATTTTTTCTGTTTTCTTCTTGGTAGTTGTGCTGTCAAGTCATTGATGTTGTTAAATTTTCTTATTTTCATTTTTATTGCGATTGTATATCATCCATAACGTTTTATCCTTGTGCAATCACTTGAAGAACTGCTATTGTAAAGAGAAAACAAAAGGACATAAGTTCAAGTGTATACATAACATATACTGTCCGTATAGAGTTCCATTAAAAATACTTCTTTATGCGGTAAATTTAGTTCTCTCTGCCATTAAAATTTACTTAATTTCAACTCTCCGTCTTTGACTTCTAGCACTTCATTTACTATTACTTAACTAAGTAACTTCTATTGCTCACCCTATTGCCTATTGCTTATTTCAGATATCTGAGACCAGTTCGATTTCTGGCGAAGTGAAATTTCTTTGAAGAGTTCAATTACAGTCACTGTCTATGTCTATGTCCGTCTGTCCAGCTGTCTGCTAGTGAAAGCGTAATAGCATTAAAAAATTATGAAAAATTTTGCATGTGTGGCTGGATGAAATATTGCGCGCTCAGCATAAATGCTTATAATGTGTGCAGTGGCCGTGTGAATATTTATTGTTTCGATTATAAATCATCACACCATAAACGCATTTGGAACAACAAGCTATTGCAACTGCAACACAAATGCAACAACGTCAATATTACCACCAACAGTAGCAACATCAGTTTTGTAGTTGAACTTTATTTGCAACGAGTTGATTTCTCTTATTAGGGTTCCCTTCCACATCGAAACCATTTCAAATGCATAAAACGAAGATGAACAATATAGTCTAATATATATGTCTTAGTGGCAGTATATAGATTTTAAAAGATATTCCTCCTTTTGGATGCTGTGCCATTTATCCACTCGATACAAGAGCAGTTTTACTTCAATGTAAAGCATCAAATTCTTGGATAATGTTGGGCCTTAGGGTATCTTGTTCAAAAATTTTATTTTTCATTTTTCTATATAATCTGCTGAAGAGTTAGATATCCTGGATATTTTATCTGGAGATAAAATATGTTCCGCTCTTCTCTATTTTCCGGCTAGAAAATTGTTTGATATGGCACCGGCTGGAGAAAACGCTGTGAAGAACGTCCGCATCTTTGGTGGAAAAACCAGTTATCTAATGAGAGGGGAGCGCTCGGTAATACCAACTGTTGACACTGTATGGGCTGGCTGTCGGAGGCTACTGAACGCGGACAAGGACGACTCACATCGGTAATGGCTGACTAAGAAGAAGAAGTGACTATACAAACAGGAAACTAAAATTGATTAATTTACTCAGTAAAGATCAAATGTACATTACTTTTATTCTGGATAAAAAATTGGTTGAAATAGTACAGGTAGATTTTTAATCAGGAATACCGCTATCATAAAAAATAGTCTAGAAAACGAATCTCTAAAAGGCATTTTAAGATAAGAGCTCTGGAGTTATTCAATGAATCACTTAAATGGTCTACGTGGATTTTATCACAGACTCGCCTTTAAACCTTACTAATTTTTGCGATTTTTGGATATCAAGACGAGGTGACAGAGGTGGCAAACAGCAACATATAAACTATAATACGAATACAAATAAGATATGTATATAAAATCCATTTTAACCATAAATTTATAGAAAAAATGTATAAATCTTAGAACTTGCAAGATTTCTTGTGCCTCCTTTTTAATATAATCAAGCGAACAGATAGTTTGGGAAGTGCTTTCTTAACAGTTTGTCAGACCTGTTAAACCACCTAAAATTACGTGGATGAATCTACTTTATTTGCAGTAATAACAAAAGATATATTAAAGTAAATAGTTTCAAGTAGATGGATCTATTTTATTTAGTTAGTTGAGTTAGTTAGCTGAAGTAGATGGAGGAATGAATACTCCCCAATTAGCAATGAAAGCCGTTTTGAATCTACAAATTCTCATAATAATGGGTGGAAGAATGTCAAGCAAGAATCAGTCAGAAGCATTTATAAAGATGAGAGTCTGGCCAATGCCGGCGCTTCGCGTGTTAAAGAAGGGGGCCCCCAAAAACTTAAACCTAGTTGTGGGCAAGCCTGGACATAGACACAACAGGCAACAATACATTCAGATTGAACTTAGCTATTGAGTTCACTTCTTAGATTACTTTAAGTTGCCTAATTGCAAACTAGTTAAGGTTATATTAGCCTCATTGCGAACAATAAAGACGTCTCAAAGCGCTAGGTTTATGTCTATTATCATAATTCTTTATACTTTCCTAATCTTTCTTCAGTCCTTTTTTTGAGAGCCGGTAGAAATGTGTTGCAGGAGATACTACAGGGTAGGTCGAGACATCCTATGGTCCCTGTATTAACAGATATTAAGTTAGATACCTCTGATTTACTTCTGTGTATTAGGTCAGAGCTATGTGTATCAAGTCAGTGGTCTATGTATGAAGTGTATCTTTGTCTAAAGTGACAACAAAAGATATACTTTTGTGAAGTATATAGACTCAAGCAGATGGATCTATTTTATCTACAGTAAAAACAATCTGCTTCATCTAAAGTTGTGTCAATCTCTACATTAGCTAATCCAATATATCAATTTTATTCCTTCCCAATATGGATATTAGATATAACCCCTTTTCTAACTGTAACCGGGCGAGCATTTTGCAGAACCCGAATTTTTGTTTTATTTAAAATTGTCGCAGGTTATCAGCAACATACGCGGCCTTATTAAATTTATTAACTCGAGCTGCTGTTACAGCACTTTTGTGTTTTTATTTTAAGCGTGCAATCCACACATTCACTCCTCCAGGATATTTAAGCATTGCAAGTATTTACACCAAAGCAAGAACATCATTCGTGCATCGCACAGATACGTATCCGAAAATTTTAATTTTTATTTTAATTTTAATTTTGCTCTTTTTAAATTTATGAAAATTAATTATGATAAATGGATTTATTTAATGAAGTTAAATAGTTGCTCAAATATGCAAGAGCACTAAGTGAACTAAATGAACTAATAGAACAAAATCGTATCGAAATATATACGAGTTTCTAAAGGCAGCATTGGCCTTTAGAGCACAAAAGGCCTTCGCTATTTGCATTGAATTTTGAACTGTTTTTGGTGCTTTTTGGATTTTTTTGGTCCTTTTGGCCACTTCCACTTCCTCCACACTGCTGGCAGCCATAATTTTATTTAGGATCTTAGCAGTCAAATTAAAAAAGTAAAAATGGAGTGCAGTCGAGAATCGTAGCAACAAAAAATTTCGTTGGCGTCATCATGGTGTCGGCATAACAACATTCATCTTCCTCTTGCCGGAAGTACTAACTCAGTGTGCTGTATGAATAGCACTAAAGCAAAAAATGTTGCACATGCAAAATATTGTGCGCGTATAAGAAGTAAAGCTGAAGCTGTAGCTGTAGCTGCAGCAGCGTCTCGAGTTTAGTTGTTTGCTTAAGGATACATTTTGATCAAATTTAAATAAAAAGAAGATTTTTCATTTCGCTACGGCATCTCCACGGCATCGCCACGGCATTTCAGCGCGTTTTGCTTTGTTGATTTGTTTTTGTGCGCGCAGCACGCTCGTCTTTAACTGCTGCACCCGCATTTCTCTCTTATTGCATTGCAGATTCGTATTGCAGATTGAATGGAATACTTCCGGTATCCGTTTCGAATATTCC